AAACTCCGGATCCCCTCACCTGCCGCCTTCTCGGGTCCGAGTGCCACCGAGACTGCGCCCCCCCGCGCTGTCCCAGGTGAGCTTTCTCGTCGGTACCGGCGAACTCGTCGCCTGGAGCCGGAAGATGGAGCAGACGCACAAAGCCGCGCCGATGCGGCGTAGCGATTGGGCCGGCGCCGCAGTGTATTCTGGGGAACGTAGTCTCCAGGCTGTAAAGATTGCCGCGCGCCGCGAGGCCCGGTCTCGCGATGCTTCGCAGTGGGCGGTACCCGTGTGCGCCCGTCGGGGGAACCCGATGGAGTGCGTTCTGCGGTGGGAGTTGCTGTGTGAGAGCCGGTGCGTGGAGCGTGCTGTGCGCGTGCGATCGCCTCTCTGGTTGCGGGTGCGACTGTGTGAGGGGCCGTGACCACGTGTTCGGCGCTGCTTGTGACGGTGAATGTCGTGTTTGGTTCCGACCCGGCCGTTGATTGGGACCGTTCGACGGTTGTGTGTGACTTGAGTAAAAGGATGTTTGGGCGGAAAAAATGGTCTCCGCCATGAAGTCAGCATTTCCGTGGAGCAGCCATGACCCCCGAAGGCTTGGAGGGAGGAAAAAGGCTCAAGGGTTTGTCTGATAACCGATTGTAAACATTGGATCTGTGTTGGAATAAATGTCGAGCATGGGGATGCCAGATCGGCAAAAACGTTTTACACGAGACGTGGAGGAGTTTCCTGTTCAGGGGTGACCTCTCGGCCAAGTCCCCTTCCGCTCCCGGCAGCTCATTGATCGAATGACATTCTAGGAAGAATCATTGATCGGCTGCCTCTCTCGCAAGCCCCCTCTGCGTGTGGAAGCGAGGGGAGCCCTGGATCCGCACATCCCGAGCGGCGTGGTCCCTGTGGCCGGGTGTCCCCGGGTCCTGGATGCTCCGGCCCCGTGATGCCTGGTCCCTCCCTGTGGCCGGGTGTCCCCGGGTCCTGGATGCTCCGGACCCGTGATGCCTGGTCCCTCCCTGTGGCCGGGTGTCCCCGGGTCCTGGATGCTCCGGCCCCGTGATGCCTGGTCCCTCCCTGTGGCCGGGTGTCCCCGGGTCCTGGATGCTCCGGCCCCGTGATGCCTGGTCCCTCCCTGTGGCCGGGTGTCCCCGGGTCCTGGATGCTCCGGACCCGTGATGCCTGGTGCCTCCCTGTGGCCGGGTGTCCCCGGGTCCTGGATGCTCCGGACCCGTGATGCCTGGTGCCTCCCTGTGGCCGGGTGTCCCCGGGTCCTGGATGCTCCGGACCCGTGATGCCTGGTGCCTCCCTGTGGCCGGGTGTCCCCGGGTCCTGGATGCTCCGGACCCGTGATGCCTGGTGCCTCCCTGTGGCCGGGTGTCCCCGGGTCCTGGATGCTCCGGACCCGTGATGCCTGGTGCCTCCCTGTGGCCGGGTGTCCCCGGGTCCTGGATGCTCCGGACCCGTGATGCCTGGTGCCTCCCTGTGGCCGGGTGTCCCCGGGTCCTGGATGCTCCGGACCCGTGATGCCTGGTCCCTCCCTGTGGCCGGGTGTCCCCGGGTCCTGGATGCTCCGGACCCGTGATGCCTGGTCCCTCCCTGTGGCCGGGTGTCCCCGGGTCCTGGATGCTCCGGACCCGTGATGCCTGGTCCCTCCCTGTGGCCGGGTGTCCCCGGGTCCTGGATGCTCCGGACCCGTGATGCCTGGTCCCTCCCTGTGGCCGGGTGCCCCCGGGTCCTGGATGCGCATCAGGCCCCGTGATGGTGCCTGGTCCCTCCCAGGACCAGGTGGTGGCTTGTCCTGGAGCCACGCGCAGGGTACCCCGTGGAAATAGACACGCTGAGGATGTTTATCTGGAGCCAGAAGGGGAAGTGCTCAAGCAGCACCCGGCACCCGTGCAGATGCAGGAAAAAGGGCCCTCGCGCTGTCTGATGGTGGCAGCCAAGCTTGAATGGGGAAAGACAGTGGGAAAATGCACCAGGAGGGAGTCCCTGCTTCCAGCGCTGACGGTGTCATTGGACAGAAGTTGCTCTAAACAAAAAACCAGGTAATGGGGTCCAGCCGCCCCGGCTCAGGGGTTGAGTGTCCACCTAGGACAAGGAGGTCACGGGTTCGATTCCCGGTCAAGGGCACATGCCCGGGTTGCGGGCTCCATCCCCAGTAGGGGGCATGCAGGGGGCAGCCCATCCATGACTCTCTCTCATCATCGAAGTCTCTCTCTCTCTCCCTTCCTCTCTGAAATCAATAAAAATATATATTAATCATGTTATTTTTTATTCTCATGTGTCTCCTTTTCACTTCTCATTGCTATTAATTCCTCTCCAACGCCTACAGGTACAAGAGGGCTTATGCCTTGTTGTTGCTGCTTTAGTGGTTGAATTATTTGCGTTTTGCTTGGAAAACAAAACGTATAGTTGCAATGTTCCCTTAGGGCACCTCCACCACTCGGCCGATTAACTGCCTCGCGTGGTCACTGGCGTTAAATCTCTAAACAAATGACTCCACGCGGCTCTTTATCGTCCCAGTCCCCTTGGACGCAAACACTTTGAAATGTTTCTGTTTAAAATATCAGGCCCACGTAGGCACACCCCCTATTGAAAAGTGTATCCAAAATGTGTGCGAGAAAATAATACCGATTCCTGGCAGCACACAGAATACTGCAATTTCTATTCCTTTAGGAATGGAAGCCCAGATTATTGAAAATTTGAAATAGCCCTGCCCTGCCCTAACCGGTTTGGCTCAGTGGATAGAGCGTCGGCCTGCGGACTGAAGGGTCCCGGGTTCGATTCCGGTCAAGGGCATGTACCTTGGTTGCGGGCACATCCCCAGTGCGGGGCGTGCAGGAGGCAGCTGATCGATGTTTCTCTCATCGATGTTTCTAACTCTCTATCCCTCTCCTTTCCTCTCTGTAAAAAAATCAATAAAATATATATTAACAAAAAATAAAAATAAAAAATGAATTAAAAAATAGCCCTGCCCACAGAAGCCTGTGGAATCATCATCATCATCATCATAAATTCGAGTCTGTTATTTCTTCTGAGTCTTACCCAGGTTGGTTTATATCACCCGTGTGCCAACGTTAACATGATCTTTTCTTTCCTTTTCTGGGTTTGAATGATTTTTTTAAAAATTAATTTTAAATCCTAGAGGCCCGGTGCACAAAATTTCGTGCATGGGGTGGCAGGGTCCCTCAGCCCGGCCTGCACCCTCTTGCCATCCGGGACCCCTCGGGGGATGTCAGACTGCCGGTTTAGGCTCCATCCCACAGGCCAGGCCAGGGATCGGGCAAAAACCGGCAGCCGGACATCCCTCTCGCAATCCAGGACCGCGGGCTCCTAAGCGCTCGCCTGCCTGCCTGCCTGATCGCCCCTAACCACCTCTGCCTCGGCCCCTACCACCACGGCTTTGTCCGGAAGGACGCCCGGAATGACGTCCAGAAGGTCGTTTGGCTGTCTGGTCTAATTAGCATATTACGCTTTTATTGTTACAGATATTTTTATTGATTTCAGAGAGAAAGAGAGAGAAAGAAACGCCCACAATGAGAGAGAATCACGGATCGGCCGCCTCCTGCATGCCCCCTAATGGGGATCCAGCCCGAAACCCGGGCATGTGCCCTTGACCGGGAATCGAACCCCGGGTGCCCCCGGGTCCTGGATGCTCCGGCCCCGTGATGCCTGGTCCCTCCCTGTGGCCGGGTGCCCCCGGGTCCTGGATGCTCCGGCCCCGTGATGCCTGGTCCCTCCCTGTGGCCGGGTGCCCCCGGGTCCTGGATGCTCCGGCCCCGTGATGCCTGGTCCCTCCCTGTGGCCGGGTGCCCCCGGGTCCTGGATGCTCCGGCCCCGTGATGCCTGGTCCCTCCCTGTGGCCGGGTGCCCCCGGGTCCTGGATGCTCCGGCCCCGTGATGCCTGGTCCCTCCCTGTGGCCGGGTGCCCCCGGGTCCTGGATGCTCCGGCCCCGTGATGCCTGGTCCCTCCCTGTGGCCGGGTGCCCCCGGGTCCTGGATGCTCCGGCCCCGTGATGCCTGGTCCCTCCCTGTGGCCGGGTGCCCCCGGGTCCTGGATGCTCCGGCCCCGTGATGCCTGGTCCCTCCCTGTGGCCGGGTGCCCCCGGGTCCTGGATGCTCCGGCCCCGTGATGCCTGGTCCCTCCCTGTGGCCGGGTGCCCCCGGGTCCTGGATGCTCCGGCCCCGTGATGCCTGGTCCCTCCCTGTGGCCGGGTGCCCCCGGGTCCTGGATGCTCCGGCCCCGTGATGCCTGGTCCCTCCCTGTGGCCGGGTGCCCCCGGGTCCTGGATGCTCCGGCCCCGTGATGCCTGGTCCCTCCCTGTGGCCGGGTGCCCCCGGGTCCTGGATGCTCCGGCCCCGTGATGCCTGGTCCCTCCCTGTGGCCGGGTGCCCCCGGGTCCTGGATGCTCCGGCCCCGTGATGCCTGGTCCCTCCCTGTGGCCGGGTGCCCCCGGGTCCTGGATGCTCCGGCCCCGTGATGCCTGGTCCCTCCCTGTGGCCGGGTGCCCCCGGGTCCTGGATGCTCCGGCCCCGTGATGCCTGGTCCCTCCCTGTGGCCGGGTGCCCCCGGGTCCTGGATGCTCCGGCCCCGTGATGCCTGGTCCCTCCCTGTGGCCGGGTGCCCCCGGGTCCTGGATGCTCCGGCCCCGTGATGCCTGGTCCCTCCCTGTGGCCGGGTGCCCCCGGGTCCTGGATGCTCCGGCCCCGTGATGCCTGGTCCCTCCCTGTGGCCGGGTGCCCCCGGGTCCTGGATGCTCCGGCCCCGTGATGCCTGGTCCCTCCCTGTGGCCGGGTGCCCCCGGGTCCTGGATGCTCCGGCCCCGTGATGCCTGGTCCCTCCCTGTGGCCGGGTGCCCCCGGGTCCTGGATGCTCCGGCCCCGTGATGCCTGGTCCCTCCCTGTGGCCGGGTGCCCCCGGGTCCTGGATGCTCCGGCCCCGTGATGCCTGGTCCCTCCCTGTGGCCGGGTGCCCCCGGGTCCTGGATGCTCCGGCCCCGTGATGCCTGGTCCCTCCCTGTGGCCGGGTGCCCCCGGGTCCTGGATGCTCCGGCCCCGTGATGCCTGGTCCCTCCCTGTGGCCGGGTGCCCCCGGGTCCTGGATGCTCCGGCCCCGTGATGCCTGGTCCCTCCCTGTGGCCGGGTGCCCCCGGGTCCTGGATGCTCCGGCCCCGTGATGCCTGGTCCCTCCCTGTGGCCGGGTGCCCCCGGGTCCTGGATGCTCCGGCCCCGTGATGCCTGGTCCCTCCCTGTGGCCGGGTGCCCCCGGGTCCTGGATGCTCCGGCCCCGTGATGCCTGGTCCCTCCCTGTGGCCGGGTGCCCCCGGGTCCTGGATGCTCCGGCCCCGTGATGCCTGGTCCCTCCCTGTGGCCGGGTGCCCCCGGGTCCTGGATGCTCCGGCCCCGTGATGCCTGGTCCCTCCCTGTGGCCGGGTGCCCCCGGGTCCTGGATGCTCCGGCCCCGTGATGCCTGGTCCCTCCCTGTGGCCGGGTGCCCCCGGGTCCTGGATGCTCCGGCCCCGTGATGCCTGGTCCCTCCCTGTGGCCGGGTGCCCCCGGGTCCTGGATGCTCCGGCCCCGTGATGCCTGGTCCCTCCCTGTGGCCGGGTGCCCCCGGGTCCTGGATGCTCCGGCCCCGTGATGCCTGGTCCCTCCCTGTGGCCGGGTGCCCCCGGGTCCTGGATGCTCCGGCCCCGTGATGCCTGGTCCCTCCCTGTGGCCGGGTGCCCCCGGGTCCTGGATGCTCCGGCCCCGTGATGCCTGGTCCCTCCCTGTGGCCGGGTGCCCCCGGGTCCTGGATGCTCCGGCCCCGTGATGCCTGGTCCCTCCCTGTGGCCGGGTGCCCCCGGGTCCTGGATGCTCCGGCCCCGTGATGCCTGGTCCCTCCCTGTGGCCGGGTGCCCCCGGGTCCTGGATGCTCCGGCCCCGTGATGCCTGGTCCCTCCCTGTGGCCGGGTGCCCCCGGGTCCTGGATGCTCCGGCCCCGTGATGCCTGGTCCCTCCCTGTGGCCGGGTGCCCCCGGGTCCTGGATGCTCCGGCCCCGTGATGCCTGGTCCCTCCCTGTGGCCGGGTGCCCCCGGGTCCTGGATGTGCATCAGGCCCCGTGATGATGCCTGGTCCCTCCCAGGACCAGGTGGCGGCTTGTCCTGGAGCCACGCGCAGGGTACCCCGTGGAAATAGACACGCTGAGGATGTTTATCTGGAGCCAGAAGGGGAAGTGCTCAAGCAGCACCCGGCACCCGTGCAGATGCAGGAAAAAGGGCCCTCGCGCTGTCTGATGGTGGCAGCCAAGCTTGAATGGGGAAAGACAGTGGGAAAATGCACCAGGAGGGAGTCCCTGCTTCCAGCGCTGACGGTGTCATTGGACAGAAGTTGCTCTAAACAAAAAACCAGGTAATGGGGTCCAGCCGCCCCGGCTCAGGGGTTGAGTGTCCACCTAGGACAAGGAGGTCACGGGTTCGATTCCCCGTCAGGACACATGCCCGGGGTGTGGGCTCGATTCCCCAGTGCGGGGCGTGCAGGAGGCCGCCGATCCATGATTCTCTCATTGATGTTTCTGTCTTTCCTCTCCCTTCCTCTCTGACATCAATAAAAAAGTATTTTTTAAAAAACGAAGTAACCTGTAATAAACTAATCTTTGCGGACGCTGGGCAGCGTGGATCCCGAGAGGAGGGGATTGAAGAACTGCAGTGGCTTTCTCTCGGGAGGCATATTCCAGACCTCAAGCCGCTGACACCAGCGACACAGTTTGGGGAGCCTGCGGTGCCAGGGATTGGGGGGCGGAGCGGGGACCAGGCCTGTGCCGGTAGCTGGAGGGCGCGCTGCCTCCGCGCTGGGCGGTGGGAGAACCTTCAGAGACAAGACGTGACGTCACAGAGGCCCCCTGGAAACAGCCAGTGATGCTGACCTCCCGGCTGGGACCTGGGGGACGGCCCTGGGCCAGTCCAGCAAAGTGGGGGGCCCCGCCCGGACCAGGGGCGACTGCGCAGTCCGGC